CTCTGCTGTCCCCACTCGCTAGGAAGGCTGCAGCCCCCTGGGAGCAGCAGTGCCGCAAGCAAGCGATGGGAGAACATCCTGCCTGGTGCCCTGTGTTCACCTTGCCCAAGATGGAAACAACCATGGAAATTTTGATTGTTAGGATGAGAAAATTGTTAATGATGTGTTGATGAACATGAAGTTAATTTTCCAATACATTTCCCACAAACTGTTGCTTTAGGACTTTTCCCCAGAGCCCAGAAAGCAGCTTTAAAGAGCTCCTGTTAAACAGTGACTGCTGCTCTGGGACCAGTAAATAGGGTGTGTTTGGGCCGTGTCTGAGTGGGCTGGGTGATCTCTGTCTGAGAAATGCCTTCCCTGTCCCAGGGTGAAGGCAGGGTGGAGGCTGGGGGTCAGATCCAGGGCCCGTAGCAGAGCAGAGGGGCTGTGAGTGGCCTTGCTCCCTGGGACAAGCTCCAAAAGCAGGACCCACCCCGAGAGGTGACCACTCCCGGGACCTGTCTGTGAACTCCCAACACCAACAAAATGCCTGTCCAGTAGTGAAACAGAACGTGGGGATCTGAGCTGGGAGAAGAACAAGGTTAAGGGATGGGCTCAGGATAAAGCAGGTGCTTTCCAGCCAGATGTGAGCGCAGCAGAGGACAGGCACTTCCACATCCCTGGCTTCTTCTGAATGGGAAAGCACCAACGTAGCCATGAAACCCATGGATAAACGGCTCAAAAATAATACAGCTTTCCAACATAATTTGTACTGCGTGCTGCAGCTCACACGTATTATGCTGAGGGATTGCCGATTCCCTGATTTTCCAGGCTCCTTAAGCCCACAACAAAGAGCACACGTCAGGGATTTCACCGCCCGCAGTCAGCAGCAGCAGCTCTTCCCCCGGCTCAGCAAAACCCCGCTCTGCCCTTTGGCTGTCACCGGGCTCACACCACGCAGCCAGCACCGCGAGGCACCGCGAGGCACCGGGGATGGGCACAGGGCCCCTGGTGGCACCAGGCCCCGAAGATGGGCAGGAGGGTGCCGGGGCCAGGGCACACCAACAGTGACAGCAGAAGGGTTTTATCCGATTTTCAGATTTTCCCAGCACAAAAGTAATGGGGCAAAGATGAGTAACACGGGAATAGCAGGAGCCGATGGCTTCCCGTTCCTTCCAACACGAAGAGATGCCAGCTACAGCACATTTTGTCCTTGTGTGTCACTCAGAATTACTTGGGCACGACGTTTATTGCCATGCAACACAAACAGTGCATGGAGCAGCGGGGGAACAGTGACATTCGTTTTTCTACTTTGGATTCAATTTTGCTTATAAGACTGCCCAATATCACGATCCTGTTGGTTTTTTTTTTTTTTTTTTTTTTTTTTTCTTTTAAATAATCATAGTTAAAACATGAAAAAAACACTTTTTTCCCCTTAAAATTAAAATTCACTGATGATCCACACTCAGCACTTAAACTGCATGGTTTTGCTCATCATCATCAAGAAGTATTTGACTGATAGAGCTGAGTTTAAACGCCCTGATTAGCACATGAAATACCATAAAAGAGCCAAAGAAAAGCAGAGCTTCAGATCTCTCAAATACAAACACCCCAAATAAATAAACCCTGGGTGTTGGCAAAGCTTCTTTGTTGGGTATTCAACTCCAGAGAAGAATCCCCCCCAAAAATAGGGGGTGGAGGGATAAGCTTCCAAGTGCCAGCAGTACATCAGCCACTACTGGAAACGGACCTGACAAATGCAGGTGGGAGCAATCCCGTGCTGACTTCCCTCCCAGGGAAAGCACAGCCCAAGGGGAAGCAGCTAAATAAATTCAGGGGGCAGCGGTGGAGAAGCACCTTTTGCTCCTCTCTAGTCTTTCTGAAGGATCTAAAGAAGCACAGCAGAGCAAAAGAAAAAAAGACCTCATTCAGTTTTAAAGATATTTAAAGCATGTTGTTCCTAATGGATTATCATAGTTTAAAATAAAACCAGCTCCGACGTATTCAGCTGAGCCGCATCCCATAACACCAGGCGCTTTTAGAGCTGGCCTCGGAGCACTCCCATTAAAACTCCATCAAATCATTACCATCAATTTGGCTGGGGGCAGGGTTTTAACCTCAGAGTGCATAATTTGGGGGAGAATTCAGAAATCTAGATGTAGCTTCCTACTTACAAAGGGTAAGTTGTTCACGCGTTCTGCTGTCTCCTGCTCCCAGATGTATTTCTGGGATATTCACGAGTCTGAGTGTCCGTGGGCTGGCTTCGAGAGCTCTGCCCTTGCTCCCCATGTGCACGTTTGTGTTGGTGACATCTGGGCCCAGACTGGATGTGAAGAGGACCTGCTGTCCTCCAGGACACCGTTATAGCTTCCAGCCAGGCTTTGTCATTCCACCAGTCCCGATCCGATCCCTGTGGGCCCCTTGCAGGGACAGGGTGGGGGGCACAGGGCTGCAGTGTCGGTGCCCAGCCCCACCGGCACCCCCAAACCCCACATTGCCCCATCCAGGGCAGCCTCCGCAGCCCCGGTTCTGCAGAGATATACAACAGGGTCCCATTTTAATTTCATCCTGTGGATCAAATAATTGTTTGGATTTTAATATTGAGTCTACGTTTCAGTGATTTGCATTTAAATGTGTTGTCAGAGAACTTCCAGAAATCTTTAATAAGAAGGGTGATTTGCATTTTAATGTGCACTTAAAGAATTTCAAGAAATCTTTTCATGTGAATTGTGTTATCTGAGCAATGCTTACATTTGAGGGGAATGAGAGCTGCCGGTTTGCTAAGTCAAAGTCAGAACTACTTTTTGGAGCTAGCCCAGATTTACTGGACTTTGCTTGAAAGAGCCTCACTGAAGACAAGGCTGGCTGGGAGCTGGGCAGGCAGTGGCAAGATGTGGGCTACTGCTGGGGAGGCTGTGGAGCCCAGCCTGTGCTGATCGCACCTTCCATCCCATCCCATCCCATCCCATCCCATCCCATCCCATCCCATCCCATCCCATCCCATCCCACCCCATCCCACCCCATCCCATCCCATCCCACAGCAGCACATCTTCATGCATCCATCGGTACCAGCAGCATGGCTTGAAAGGATTTGCTTTTCTGATCATCAGTCTGAGCTCACTCTTAAGTATAAAAACCTCTCTAAGCTGATGTTGGAACAAGCTCTTTCTCCTCCTTGCAATAGCAGCAAAGAAACCACTGCTTTGATTAGATTTTCTTATTTAAAAAAAAATAAATTTGTACGTGGCTCTCGTCTACCTTAACAGAAAGTCAAATTTCGACACTATTCAGACTCATTATGTTCTTACTTAAGCACTGTCACTCATTTCATCCATTGCAATTTCATCCACCGAAATTTAAGTTACATGACATTAACTCGCATTTCTAGGTTATGAGAACACAGACAGCAGGTCCAGTCCCTACCACGACACTGCAACTGAGCTTACACTCAGAACAGATGAGCCCAGTCCCAAACGTGCACACAAGATGTGAAGCCCTGGGGCAGCCCAGCCGTGCTGCCCAGCCCACCTCCCCCTGCTGTGCCTCCCCGGGGCACAGCCACGGCACACAGAAGACACGGAGCTACCAGTGCCAATAGAGCCTGGTTTCAATAAAAAGACGGAAACAGACTCGTTACTAGCAGTGGGTGGAGGGCCTCAAAGACTTATGGATGATTGTGTCCGGAGAAGGGCTCTGAAGCTGGTGAGGGGCCTGGAGCACAGGTCCTGTGAGGGGCGGCTGAGGGAGCTGGGGGGGTTTGGGCTGGGAAATGAGGAGACATTTCTGCTCAGAAAGAGCGGGCAGGCGTTGGGACGGGTTGCCCAGGGAGGTGGTGGAGTCCCCGTCCCTGGGGGTGCTCAAGGAGAGGTTGGACGTGGTGCTTGGGGACACGGCTCAGTGGGTGACAGTGGTGGCAGGGGGACGGCTGGAGCAGATGACCTTGGAGGGCTTTTCCAATCTCAGTGGCTCTGTGGTTAAATCAGCTCTTCCCAGGTACCAGGAGTTACTTGCAACTAAGCCAACGCTGGTGGGATGCAGGAACACTGTCCTGGTACCAGACGAATGCAAGGCTGAGGCATTTATCAAAAATAAATGACTTTAGGAAAACAAGACGCTTATTTTTAGAAGACAGCTCACTGCTGACAATGTTCCCATCAGTGCTCGTAGCTTCCCTGGCTCCCAGTGACTCACGCCGCTTTAGCCCTCTCCAGGGGCCGGCAGCACACAGCAGGGACAGCACCACGGCAGGTCCCTGCACTGCAGCTGCTGCAAATGCAAACTTCTGAGCTGAAAGACAAACTGGAGAGAGCTCAAATTCAGCCCCTTGGCTGTCCTCTCCTAGCCTGAGGTTTGCTAAAATGTGGAACGTTCTTACCCTATGCACGACAGAGAGATTTGTAAGCTAAATACATGCACGGGTGTATGCGCTGCTTTCCAGCAAGCGTGCTTCCCCAGCAGAGCTCGCAGCCCACAGCCCTGCAAACCTGCAGATATTTCGCAGTGCAATCAAAAGTTTAAAAAACTTCAATTAGCCAAATGCAGACATATGCAAGGAGACAGCACATAATTAGTGAAAAGCAAACTAGATACTTTGGAACTTAAATGATCTAACGCATAATTGGTACATAAGTAAGAATATTTGTTTGTTTATTCTACACAGGGTCACCTACTGCTTCCACCGAACAAAGCTGTCAGTGGTTTTAAAAGGAGTAGGCTTCTGTTTCTTCAGCCAATTATTTTCTCACCAGAGATCAGAGCATCAATAAAAATGAACAAATAAACTGTTTTTTGATCAGCTGAAATATTGGTTATGTGGGATTTTTATCGTCTTCCTTATTGCAGTAAACATAAACAAAGAATCACATATGTACCAACACTGCCAACTCTTGTAATTTCTCTCAGCACTTTATGACAGCTGATGTTTATGCTCATCCACCTGTCTAGAGACAGGGTAGCTGTGGGTTTGGAGGATTCAGGATTTATTTTGAAGAACAAGTGTTGACCCTAGGGTTACAGGAAACACACGTGAGCTTCCATCTTGGGGCTAGGTTCCTAGTAAGGGCTTGTTAATCATGGCAAAGGCAACACAGCTGCTTCACGAGGCACCTGTTTTATAGGCACAGACTGCTGGGGTTCTGGCTTTTTGGAGCAGGTCAGCTAGCAGGAGAAGTGTTGTCCCCGGTGATGGAGGGCTTCTGGATGGAGAGCTTCTGCTTGCTCTTGTAAGTAAATCCTATGGGGCTTCAAATGAAAGCGGCTGTTCTGTGTCCTTTCAAAGATCCATCTGACTTGTTTCTGTATTTCCTATTACCAGTAACCAGTGATGTGCCAGAGGAAGTGCATGGGGTGGTCTTTAATGCTTGATGGCAACTTGCTAAGGAGAAAGCAGGAAGCCAGTGCAGGGTCTGCGTTATCCTGCACTGCAGTAATGGCTCTAAGCACAGGGAAGCCTTTCTTCTCTCCTTTGCAGAAGCTAGCTCTGTATTTCTGCAAGCTTGTGGGATGTAAGTGAGCACAGGCCTTGTTTGGCACTTCTGGGACTGGCACCAGCACAGGCAGTGTGCTGCTGCCCTGGGCCTGAGTCCAAAGCCTCCCAGGGGTGAGCAGCACCACAGCCGCTGCCCTGGGCACCCCCCAGCCTGTCCCTGTGGCTCTCAACCCTTGCCTGCGTAGCTGTGGCTCTGGGTCAGGAGTGCACGAAAAACTCTGAGTGCTCCCAGGGTCTGCAAGGCACACAAAGTAAAGCTTCAGATATTCAGGCTAATGGAAGGACTCACTGAAATGCAGCTACACTCTTGATTTTCCAGTACTAGTGAATGGACACAGCAACCTCTCTGATTCCAAAACTAGTTAAGATTTCTGTGTTTATACTCAGGGCCTTGAGATTAGTAGATGCCAGCAGCTGATGAGCAAGGATTAGTCAGGTGGAAGTGGCTTCCTTTGGGAACATACGGGCTGTGTTCCTGCCCTGCAGAGGGGCGTTGCTGTGTACAAGGCTAGATCCAGGTGGATGTGGTCAGGACACTTCAGTAAGGATGTGAATGCTGTACATCCAAACAGCTCTTGGCAAGCTGCGTCTGTGTGCATTTGTCAAAGCTGATGTGTCCTTCAGAAGTGGCTGTGTCACTACGCCAAGTCAGTGCTGAACGCGATGGAGCGTGTGATGACAGGCAAAAATACGGATGAGCACTGACATACATACGGGCACCTCCTGGTTTGCATTTTCAGCTAGAAGTACGGGAAAATGCTTTAAATTAAAAATGCAATGTCTGGAAAGGTCTGTAGCCCCCAGGCTCCTCTCAGCCCGGGTGGTGATGAACGGGCTTCCGCAGAACCCCAGGGGAAGGGGAGGAGATGGGCGGGAGTGAACTGAGCGGCAGGGTGCAAGCACCTGCCCTTCCAGCAGGCTCCTGCCTCGGTCCCTCAGCTCCCCAGGAGGAAAGGACACAGAAGGGAAGAGCGTTTCTGGAAAGGCTGTTGAAATATCCCTGACTTCAGTCATGCATATTTATGAATTTGGACTTAGGGTATCGCAGCTGGAAAATTGATAACAATGTTCTAGCAATGAGCACTGTTTACACAAACAGAAACACAAATGATCAAATATCCAATAACCTTATGCAAAGCAGTTTTAAAGGGAATATTTTTTCCTAACAAAACATTTTTTAAGGTTTAACTTAATCTGTTCTCTTCAGTTACTTTGTCTCTTGGGAATAAGCACATTAAAACAATGACAATCTGAACAAACAAGAAAAGGCATTATAGTGTCATTATCAATACAAACCAACTTAAAATGCTTCCCATATGTAGAGGAGAGCTACAGCGTGATTGCAAACAAAATCTCTGATCACTTTTTCAAACAATGCTTAATCTGTTCTATAGCCATGGCTCTGCGGAAGCTGCATCTGCAAACAAAAATTACGGTATGTAACTAAAGTCGTCACCACAGCTGAACAAATACATTCTAGTTAATATTTCATTTATTTCTCTGTTTTGGAACATATTCAAAGCCAGGACACAACTTTCAAATGTCTTAATCACTGGTTCTTTTTCTGGGTTCCTCCACACAATGTTTCCCTGTGCCAATTGCTCATGAGCAGCACAGGACAGAAACACAACCCTGGAAGGCCAGAACTCAGGCTGATGAAATCTGGGTGCAGGAAAATCCTTCTCCCCAAGGTGATGGTTTGTTATAAAACAGTGCAGCGGACACCCAGAATATGGTACCTGAATTCTGTTGTAGGATGTCTCCTGCAGGGCTGCATCCTGGTGCAAGACCTGAGCTGATGCCAGGCTTGGGGGAAAGGGGAGACATCCTTCACATCCCACAGCAGTTTGGGTTCTGAAGGCAGTGCTTCAAATGTGATGTGGGGAGCAAAATGTTGATAGTCCAGAGCTCCTTAACCTCCCCGTTCAGAAGCAGCAATGTGAACTTTCAAACATTTCCCTTTCTGGGGGAGAAGGTGGCCGGGTGTGTTACCACACGGTGCCCTTACTCTGGTGCTGCTCTCTCCAGTCCCAGTAACAAGGGGAAAAACACACTGGCTACAGTAAGGAAGCAGCTGTGAGGATGCAGTGATGTCAAGTTGCTTCCATATACAGTCTTGTAATGTTTTTTCATGAAATATTCATAACTTGTCCCATCCCCATTAGTACTTCTGCACCTGCCGGAGCTGTGGAACAGGAGCGGTGCCGTGTGCCCTTGCCTGCTCCGCTGGTGCTGCACAGCCACTCCTCCCCGGTGCTCCCAGAAAACACAAATTAGCTGAAACACCCCTGGCTACCGCGCAGGCTGCTCAGTCAATGTCATCTTAACTGGGATAATTACGGAAAATACTAATTATCAGTAATGGGTGGGAGGTTATGATTTCTTGTGCTCTGGGAGATCCCAAGAGCCCTCTGCACGTCAGCGTGGCTGCCCTGAGGGATGAGCCTGGGCACTCCCCCCTGCAGCGCCCCTGGGAGCAGGACGAAGGGGAAGGGTCCCCACACCCTGGGCAGCGCCGCTGCCTTTTGGGATGGGAATGGCATCTTCTGAACACTGCGGGCCCTAACGAGTGCTTGGGGCTTGTTTGCATGCAAGAGGAATGAGCAATGGCAGCAGGCATGAGGGAGGATGAATGAACCTGATTATACCTACACCTGCAACTGTTGTCTTTGCCCTTATGCCATATGCTTGCCTTGTCTTTTGTGGAAACCTTCTCTGCAGCTGTTATTGCCAGGATGTAAATGTGAAATGCATCAAGGACAGGTAAGAGACCAAGATTTATTTTTGCTGGTCCAGTCACTTGGCCACAGCCAGCCCTCAGAAATGCATTCCCTTGTTAGCAGTAAGCCTGCAGGTGCACAGAGTTAACCCTTGGGGCGTGTTGCTTTCCTCAGCAGAGAGATCTCACCTGTCGACTGCCTGCTCACGAAGAAAACCTGCGGCTGCGTTTAGGCACACTTCAAGTACGATCTGGTTTGTATCAAAGCCACCAGCACAGGTTTGTTTCTGTATGTGGACTCCTGCAGCTTTAGGCCCTGCACCATGCTGGCATGCAGCACTGTGCACAGAGCCCTCGGTGCTCAGCCCGCAGGGGGACGCTTCCCCTGCTCGCAGAGGACCAGGACACATCCTGCACCACATCCTGCAGCAGCAGCCCCCAGGGACGTGCAGGTGCTGCCACCGGCCGCATGCAGCAGCCCAGGAGGCAGCCAACCTCTCGGCACAGCACACGGATGTGTGGGTGAGCCGATCCCATCCAGCCGCTGCTTCGTGCCCTTCTTGCCTGGGCGAAGGGGGCAGTTTCACGAATTTCCTTGAAGGCTGAGATTTTCAGGATCTGAAGAGGTATGGATGTCACGTTCCTCGAGACAAAGCAGATGACTTTTTTATCTTCTGTTTTTATCTTTCTGTTTTTGAATTGCCATGTTTTCGTGCAACAATTTTTCCCAAAGGAGAAGATGTTTAGATCCAGGATTTGGTTTCAAACCCCACGGGGGTTTGAATCTGTCAGTTTGGATTGGGTTTCCACAAACTCATCTCTTTGTAGGATGCAAATCTGTAGCATTGCATCCGTTCAGCTTGTTTCATCTGTAACACTAAGCCCAAAAGAAGAAATAGCTGAACAGTAGGGGGTCCTGTTTGGGAAGGAAATGAACAAAATCCAGTTCTGCTGCCAGCAGATGTGGATGCTATGGGAGCTGTGGCTTCTGCCTGTTTACATCCAGACCATAATTACTCCCTGAGCTTTGTCTGGGCTGGCAGAGGTGCCATGGCCTTGGAAGAAGCCCCCCAGGGGAATCAGCAAGGAGCACAGCAAGCAGGGGCCTGGCCTCTCCCCAGCAGTGGGGATCTCACCGAGGTGTGGGAATCCTGCCCACAGACCCAGCGGGCACTGACCTTTCAGTCCCTTTGCAACAGACTGCAGCTTCTGCCTCCACCTGGGAGAGTCTTCAAAGCAACTGAGTTTTTAATCAAATCTTTACTCATGGAAGCATTTTCATCAGCATCCTTATTTAAATATTCTTTGTCTACTTAAAATAAGGGAGGCCAGCTTTCTATCTGCAGACTCTGCCCTGGAAGAAGGGAATGAATTATTCCTCAGGTAATATAAGTGCATTGACTTGAGAGAATAGAGGATTTGTTCTCCTGAATGCTCACAAATGAATGAAATCAAGCACACCTAGGAATGATTCCTGCCCAGCTATGAAACACATGCCTGTACATGCTGATAGCGGTGGTTTCACCAGAAAGTAACAGCACCTGGGGCCTGCACGTGGTTTAGGTTAAACATCTAAAAATTAAAAAGTTTAATCAAGCTATGGGTGCAGAACCCCTCTAACCTTACAAGGGTTTAAATGCCAATGGCAGGATTGAGAGAAAGTCATCCTATCCCGAAATGCCAGGAATGGCAGAGAGGTAAATTGGACAGAAAAAAAGCATTCAGGTTACAGCATGTCCTGAGAAAATTAACGAGACTAAAGGAATGCACCTTCAGGAAATTGTCAGCGATATCTTTCAGATACTGACCTATCAAGAAAGCACAGCTGTACTTAAGTACACTGGATAAAATTATTATATGAAATAATGAGATGTCTTCCATAACAAGTCTCTCAAATTAGCCAAGCTGCACGGGAGCAGCCACTTCTGTCAGTGGAAAGGAGCCTTACAGGGATAATGCCCTGCAGAAATGCTTGGTCCTTTAGCTGCATCCTTACTGAGCTCATCAAAGCTTTTGCAATTAACCTGAGGTCTTCGTATTTACTCTTCTATCTATCAGTATATCAAATAACATTACATATTATTAAAAATAATGGAAAAAAAAATCTTACAAAATACAGTACTACTCATGCATAAAAATGATATTACAACTGATCTGTACTGGGCCATTAATTCAGAAATACAATTTCCCCCCTTAATTCTACAAGAAGGTACTTATTTTTAAGGAAGATTTGCTTATAATCTAGGGATAAACTTTTTTTTCCCACAGTTATTCTGTGGTGTTGTGCTAAACAACCACCAGGCGCTCACTTGAGGACCAGTTCCCTGCACAGGCTTTGACGATGACCTGACAGCTAAGAGAGAAACCCAAAGAAAGCTATTCATCAAATTCCTCCTTACTGATGTCTGCATGTTAGAAGCGTGGAGACTTTATGTTTTCAATGAAGCATCTCATTTTTTTCAGCAGCCCCCGCCTTCTGCTTTGATGCCCAGCCTACGCTCAGTTGCCATATGACACCACGCTAAGGCAAAGACTGCAAGAGAAAATTCTAATTGGATATGAAAGCTCCCATTACCAATACAGGTGTTACATTTAGTTTAACTGAAGATCAGTAATCACGTTCTCCTATGAGTATGCAAACAGTAAATTTGTAAAAAGCCGCCTTCTCTTTCCAGGCTTGAGCTTAGCCTCTGTAATCCTTCTGTTCCTATATGGAACAAAATGTTCAACTTCCCCACGCTACAAGTGAAAACCCTGAGCTGAGAAAAAATCAGCTCTTCGTAGGAGCATAAATAAACATATTTTCAAGCTCTCTGATGGCATGCTCACTCAAGCTTTTGCTCTGAGATTTTGGCCTTGAGAATATTTAAAGTGCAAAATTCAGCCAAAATCAGCATGTTCCACCGGGTTCTATTTCAGCCTGATTTAATTCTGGTGTAAAAATATGTTCTGATTCAGTTTGATGGAAATTCAGTCTGAAGTTCTTAAAATAAGACTCCTCCAAAATACACAGGGAGAGAGAACTTTTTCTTTCGGTTTGGCTCCCAGGCCCTGGACGAAGATGGGTGCAGGAGCAGAAGCGCCACAGCCCTGTCCCCACATGCGGTCGGAGCTCCAGCCGGGGGCAGCGCCTTCGTGCTGCTCTTCCCTCTGGAGTACTTCTGGGCTGGGAATGCAGTAAAAACTCGGATTCATGCTCCTGTTTGAAATGAAAGATTTGGGGCTGCTGTACTTTTTTTTTTTCCCAACCAACTCCAGACCCCTGTGTCTAAAGCAGGGTTGGAGGGGTTTTCAGACGCAGGCTTAACGCAGGCAGTGTCTCTCCACCGGAGGCCAGGCAGGTGCTGGGTGTGGTCAGAGCTGGGGCAGTCGGGGGGTGCATGAGGCCGATGTGCCTGAGAATGGTTTCACTTAATAAGGGAACAAGGATCCTAAGAAGAGGGGGAATCGAACAGTGATTTTCCAGGCACCCCAAATGCTCTCTGGAGAAATACGCACTCACTGCAGGGGAATCATCTCCCTGGGGGCTCAGCGCTGTGGTGAGCTCAAGGCTCTCCATAGGGGCCCTGAGGAGGCAGCAGGGATGCCGAGGTGCCAGGACACCCAGCCTCTGGAGGCATGGGCCAGTGATCACAACTCCCGCTAGCCAGCCAGACCCAGCGTTTGTTCAACCAAGTCATTTGTACACAAGGTTCTCACAGTGGATTACAAACCAAGGCAGCCAGGGGTTTCTTCACTGCATTTTGGGTAAGGGAATATTTTAGCTGCCTTAGCAGCTAATCAATAAGCTCCTATAAATTGCTAATCACTGTTAGTAGATTCAGAACAAGTACTAAAAAAATTTTAACGCCAGTAGTTTATGAACCAGCTTCCTAAGCTCATCCAGTTCTTACAGCTGCAGAGTGCTCACACCAACGCTCAGCTTACGGACGGGAGGTATTTTACATGACTGGTAGTCGATACAGAGCGGTCAGCGGGATCACACTCTAATCGAACAGTTTATATTTATGGCTATTTCAACAATGCTCATAACCAGCTATTGAAATGTAAAAAGTATTATCACAATTCCAGGCTTCTCACTTTTTAAAAAATATTATTGGAAAACTAATGTAACAAGATAATTTGACAAAATTAAGTAAAACAGCCTACACAGTACTCTGATGTCCAGTACGCTGCTCATCCCTATTTTATTTGTCCAGGTCCTACTAGCAGATATAAAGCCAAAGGCCATTCGCTCCAAAAGAAAAGTCCAAAGTTCTTAAAAAGGCTTTAGTAAGGGCCAATAGCACCAAAATAAAAAAAAACAGCCTCCCACATGACCAGTACAGGGAGATGTTATCTGCTGTACTGAGCTTTGATATCGCATATTGGTCATCATACCTGAATCCTCACCAACTTCAGAGGCATTGCAGGTGTTCAGCACTCCTCAAATCATCAAAATTGTAAGCTCAATTACATTGTCAGGTTTAAAGCTCGACGTCCATTGTTCCTTAAGATTTACCCTAACCTCGTGCACCTGAAGCATTGGGTTAACATCAGGCTGCGTAACAGTGGCAGAAATGTTTTATGTTGTGCCAGTATTAACTTGAGCATGCCTTCTGAAAGTAGCGGGCTGAAATCGCTCACGGAAAATTCATTGGAATGTCCAATTCATTCACCGTTACATTTTGGACACAACTTAAGAAATTCCGTCAAGTCTAATTCCTGTCTATTTTCTTCCTTTATAAAAAAAATGGGTTTGAGTTAGATTCATAAAAGGTTACTGCTACTCTTTTCAAAGATGTAATTTAGATTTTGCTTCTTGTCTCTATATTTACTGTATGTTAGACTTGAACTTGAAAAGCCGAAAAAAAGGAGAAGAAACTGAGAAAATGTTGTGGTTACAAATTTAAACAAATCCAGGATGACTTGAAAAAAAAAACCTGCTGCAAGGAAGTGTTTGCCTGTATATACAATATGTTGCTGATATTCATTGAATGGCAAATATCTGTGTTATGTTTTCTTATTTACACTCCTTGCTCTTTCTGATTTCTTTTTTCCTTCGAACCACCACTACATTTCAGCAGGTTTTAGAAAAGGCCTGAGCCCATCAGATGGAGCAAAGCTCTGGCAGACTGGCTGCTGGGGGCGATTCCTCCCTGCTCCGCAGAGACCAGCCCAGTGAGACTGAAATATTTTCACCTCTAAGCCACAACCCCACGTGCTGAGCTGTCCTCCCTCCAAACCTGGTGGGCACAGGCTTGGTGCCCGTTCCTCATCTGCCCCGACGGCAGCTCAGGGCCATCTCGCAGGGACGTCTCTGTGTGTTACAGTAAGGGGACCAGCCGGTCCATGGAAACATACTGTGGGCTCTCACGCACACCATTCCTGGAAAACATCCAGCTCCAGAGGGGTTGGGCTGCAGTTTAAAATACAGTGATAGTTTTCCTAAATGCCAGCCCTGCAGCAGCGGGCCTCCCAGTGCAGAGCCAGTACTCCCAGCATCTCCCCGTACTGCACTGGGCCTGCACAACCCTTCTGGTGGCTGGAAATGACAGGGGAGTCCCAAAATCAGGCAAAGGCCAGGACTGTGCCTCTTCCAGCAGGGCTCACCCTGCCGCGGGAGCTCACGGCAGCGCAGAGGCCCTCTGAGCACGGGCAGGTTCGTGTTGTCCTGGCAGGAATCCTGCCTGCAGCAGAGGGAGGACGTGCACCATTAAGTTGTACTCTGGAGCGGCACGATAACAGATCTATATATTCATGTTAAACATCTATATTGAGCACTCGGGTCGATGAGGATCCTACCGAAGGGATACGGAACGCCAGCCAGGCCGTGAACACCGGGTAGCGACAAAGGCCAGCACACAACGGCCACCCGAGCTGGTGCCCAAATGTCACTATTCGTACATCTCTACAATGCAGCCTGAGCCCTGTACCCACACAGTACACCATTTTTACCAAGCTTTGCTTCAGTTACCCACTGAGCTGAAGATTTTTAGACTAATCTAACAATCAGATTTGACGTTATTGGTTTCCAATAAATAATAGCATTTTTCATCTGTGGAACAACTCTAATCAAACTGACAGCCTCTGCAGGCTTTTCAGTCTGCCATGACAAAGTGGGAACGCATCACCCATCGCTCAAGTACGAGCAGAAAGCTGGGAGCAAGGTCCTTGTGACTCCGTGAATACGCTAACAGACCTGGCTGACTGCGCTACGCCCCCACCACGTGCAGACGAGCATCCTTGTGAGCCCTCCAAGTTTTGGTCAGCCGGAGGGACTGGGTTCCCAGACAGTGACAATACCTGGAAACAAACATCTCCTGGCTACAGGAAAGGAAGACTGCATTATTCATCGGATTAGATTTTATTTTGTTATCTCTTAGGTCATTTTTGTCTTCGCTGATTTAAAGCCAGACAAAACAAACTACGAGAACATACAGGTCTATCAGTTTTAAGGTACAGGGAAATTGGTGGTTTCTCTTCTACATCTAAGCCTTTGACAGCAGAGCTGTAGGTGTCACTGCACACGAGGGTTCATCTTGTTAGGCAAATTTCTACCACGCAGTTCATTTACGAGTCAGCGATACGCACATCAGCTCAATCTCTTTTAGCTCTGCTCACACATACAGAGGGGCTGGCTGCGGGTGACTGCGTTATTCCCAGGGGATCGTGCTGTATGGATGACACCAGGATCGCCCCAGGGATGCATGTCCAGTGAACGGCCAGCAGAGAGCCCTCGCAGAGGGTATCACAGCATTGTGGAATCATACAATATCCAAGTTGGAAGGGACCCACAAGGCTCATGGAGTCCAACTCCTGGGTCCCCAAAGGATCGCCCAAAAAAATCAGACCATGTGTCTGCTCAGCTTTCCTTCTGTGCAGCCCCAGCCAAGAGGTCTCATCTGTTTAACTCAGAACCTGAAATCTACTTCAGAAATACCTCAGCCTCCTACCAGCAAGTGACAACGACACCCAGCCAGCATCCTCGTGAAAGAGGGAGGCGAGGAGGCCAGCATTTAGCACTGCCACTAGAGCCAGTGGAGACAGCACCCGCCCTTCAGCAGCAAGATCCTTGTTGGCTAACCACTGGCTATTGGAGATGCAGGGCCAGGATTGCCCCATGGTGTCTTTGGAGCATTTGCAGATGCTTGAGCTGCGACCTGCGCACAGATGTGAAGTGTCTGGTGCAAGGCGAGGCTTAAGCGCACCAGGCCGGTTGTTCTCATTGCCTCACACTTGCTCAGACTTTGCAAATGGCCCCAGGAAGGGCAGGGACAGGCAGAGCTATCTCAACCTCCATATTCTGTTCTGCCAGTGAACTTGAAGGAGCTTTTCTCAAGCCCTCTCCACCTGCCTGTTGTGGGGAAACATTTGGGATAAATTGCAGGCTTGACGTCTCTAACAAATTCTCTTGGTGTAGCTGTCAGTACCCCCATCTTTTCCCTAGTTCTTTCCCTCCAGATTGTGTGTGAATTTTCTCACCCTTTCCTCCATCTGTACTTCTATATTTGCTCCGTTTTGCCTAGTGTCTCTCCTCTCCCCCTCCTTTGCTGCTCCAGCTGAGCAGAGGGCACCCGGCGCCTCGTGCTGCGAGCCGTGCCCCTGGCCGGGGAGCCACGCGAGTATAGGCAGGGGCAACCACAATGTGCTGCAGTCAAAACCTCCCCTCTGCAGCAGGGACTGTTCTGAGAGCCTGTTACAATCCCTGCTGCTGAAAAGCAGAGCGAAGGGACGTGCCACGGGGTCCTGGAGGACACAGTGATACCCTGAGGGGCTAAAATGCATCTTCTCCCCATCGCAGCCTGCCCCACAGCCCCGTCACGCTGCTCCCAGCTGCTCTGCAGACACGTACACGCAGTGCCCTGTCGCTGACCTGCTGCCCGAAGCTAAGGCCTCCTCCTCCTCCTCCATCTCCAGCCTGTCATGTTGCACTTCTGGCACCCACAGCGTGCACGTGTAGGACGGTCACCCACAGTCCGGGCAGCTCTGCACGCCTGGATCCAAGCGAAAAGGGCTGGTGTGTAGGTTACGGGACGTGGTGAGGGAGAGTCTGCTTCTGGCACTGCAAAGCCAGGAATGGGGCCAGGCTACAGAAGGCTGATCCAGCCCATATGCTTTAACAGCACCGCCACCGCCACCCCCCCAGCACGCACCAGATGTTCCCCTGTGCGTCTGTGATTCATCCCATTGTAGAGGCTGGAGACAGCTTAAAGTGAAGATCTAAGCAGAGGCCATCACTCTCTCCAAAATCGGAGTGTTTGGGGTGGGGTTTTACTTCAAGATCATTGGCAAAACAGGAGGGAAAACCACTGAAGTGTTCAATTCAGAAATCCAACTGTAGGTAGTATTTTATTTTTTTTTAATTTCATTGGCACAACAGAAACTGGAGGGAAAGAAGATGCATGAGCGGAACCCCCATCCCTCCCTCCCCTCGTGCCCCACCTGTGAGCAGGAACACAGGCTGCAGCTCCTGCCCACCCACCACACAGCAACTGCGTTTCAAAGATCTGCTTAATTATGGGCCTAATGGCTCAGCACAGCCCGTCTCCAAACCCTGCTTCGCCTTGGCCTACTTGAAGCTGGAGCGGAGCCCAGCTGCGCTCCCAGGATTGCACTGTCATCCTGTGTGCGGGCTCTGCAGCCCATCTCACCACCCACTCAGCAAAACAGCTGCAGGTTTGCTGTTCTGGACGCTTTCTGCGTGCCCTGCATTTCGGGAAAAGCTCCTCCACGGAGAACACGAATCTCCCATTAGCCTTAATAGCACCTAAACTTGAACGAGGGGATAAACTATCATACAATATTAATCATGCAATGCTGTTAGCAGCACGCACTGTACCCATGTGAATAGCTGCACGGTTTACACCCCCATCAGCCCATCTGATCTACTTCCAGAAGGATTTGTACGTGAAGAATGCTCTTTATCTTCATGCCAACCACAGCTATTTACCTTCTGAGGAGTATTTGGAGCACGCTGTGTATTGGTGCATCAAAACAGTGTTTCTCCCCCTATTCTTCCTCCTTTGGGAACAGTCATCCCTTCTCAGCCCTCAACCCCCGCAGCCGTGCATTTTGCAGGAGCTACTGAGCTGCTCTGCGCCGACCACCTTTGCATCTGCCTAACCAGTTGGTTTAGACACCGCCCATGTTTAGGACCATTAACCTGACTGCAACAGCTTGATGAATTAATGCTAATATAGACACAGTTGGCAGCTTCTAATTAAATAATTATGGCTAAACAGCTGCAGAGAAGTTGTAATATTCCACTAGAACGCCAGATGTCAATTTTATTGGTCCTCAAAGTTTAAAATGAAAGCCTTTGGGAGGTTTGGGAAGGGGCTCCTTTTGCTCCAGGTGAATTCTGCAGGCACCGTGCTCCTCCCTGCACCCAGCTGCGGCCAGAGCCCACGCACACCGCCAGGAACCTCTGCAGCCCCCAGCAGCTCCAGCACAGCGAGCAGCAACCAGCACGAAGTGAACAGGGAGAGCTGGATTGAGATAAAAGAGTGGTTTGGCATCACAGTCATTGCTTTACCTAGGGAAGGACCCTTGGAAAAATCCATCTCTGAAACTGTACCAGTGTCAAAAATAGACAGAACTGGTATGAACCAAATGCAAAGCGTGTTGACTGGATACGTCTTTCCAAGAACTTTAATTGGATTGGGCATTCTGTGTATTGGTGGGAGATTTTGTGATGCCTGCTATAGATTTCCACTCTCCAAAATTTGTAAGGTACCTCTTATCTCGGTACCCTAACTGTAATGATGTGGGAGCAAAAGGCAACCTTTTAAGGTAAAAATTCAATTAATATGGGAGTCAGTAGATTGTGTTTGTTAATTTGTGTAGAACCTACTTTTATCCTCTCTTCAATTAGCAAAACATTGAGCCTATAAAGAACTTTTCTTCCTGATTCTAAATTTAAATACAATTTATTCTAATCCATTCCTTTAGCTACATGAATTGTTCTCCTCTAACTTGTACAAGACGCTATAATTTTCAAACACGAGAAGCCTAATAATAGAAATCATCTATCCTTGTTAGCATATGAGCCGATCCAAGACCTCTGAACCATTTTGCTAAGAAATCCAGCTAGAAAACTAATTTTACATAAATCTATGCATGTCAAAAATACAGATAGCTCTTCAGGATGCTAACTTAAGCATCATTACATAAGCAGCTTAGGGTTGCCTGTTGAGCCGAGACACAAGAGTAGATGGCGCTGAACCCAGCGTTACACACCAACTATTCACTTCCTGATACATCTTTCATCTAAAACTTTTGTCAGCTCCCCACATTACCAAGCCTGCCAACTGTAAGCATTGCACACAGCGTAGCAGGTCTACAGGCAAAGCAATTTTTATCCTTCCTTAAATCCCTCTGCCCAAAGCAGCAGCTGGCTGAAGCCCATTTATACAAATGGACTGGGAAAATGTTCCATCCTTCACCCTCTTTAGATGAAAATGGAAGAAAACATCCTCACGAACCTCTTGCACATTTAAGCACAGCAGTTGGGGAACGATTTTCTGATACAGAATTATAGAATCAAAATCACCCTCGTGTTACCATTGGTAACAGTACCTCTACCTGAATATCAACTTAGAAAGTTAATGAGCCTGCTAGAGCTATCAGCTAAAATTACCACAACAGTATGTGATCTGATGTGATTGCAGTAAGCAGGGCAGATACTTCTCATTATGAGGACTGTTTTTCATAGGCATGTTGCATAACAAGGCACAGTAACTCGCCTCTCTCTGCTCTGAGCCCTCATTTCAGAGCACATCAGTTGGCTCTGAGAAGCCTCCCCGTTGAAAAGCAGCCAGGGGGACGGGATTTTGTTTTCCCTTCCCTGCACGTAAGTGTGTCGGGTTTGCTGACAGATGGTTTGGCTGACTATGCTTGACTATTATCAAGCAGCTTTTACCTTTGCAAATTGAATCCCATTTGAAGATTTTCTGTAATTAAATCTGCAGCGCGTTTGCAAGGCTCCCATCGCATCGCTCTCGCACGCAGAAGTGTGCAAGGCCATGGGATGGCTGAGCCGCTCAGAGGCGCGGAGCCTTCGCCGCGGGGATGGGCGCTTTTGGCAGTCTGTGCTGCCACCTAGCCAAGACCAAGGCACCGAGTTCAGCCTTGCTTTACCTTTTCCAAGCTCAAACTGAAGCATATCACCCCAGATCAAAATTAAGCTGCAGCAGACACAAGGAAATTTGCACTTTCTGGGCTTTGAGAACCGCACGGTCAGAGCCAGGCTTCGAACAGGCACTGACGCCTCCCTTACAAATGCCTCGTACTTACGGTAGAAGACATATTCGGTGTAGCTGGACCAGACCTTGTCGTCAGTGTACTGATTGACAAAGGAAGCTGTCACAGAGGAGTTGCAGGCCACCATGTGGAATCCACACTCGGATAACATGTCGAAAGCCCTCTCCAGATGCTTGAACTTGAGATAAAACCTGGAGGTGTACCTTTCTGGGGCTCTGTCTGGGTCTCTGCTTTCATTCAAACTTTCTCCAAAGACCTCTTTGACCAGAGCAATCCTTCCACAAACCAAAATCCTTGGGACCCTCCTGAATTTGGCATCTGCTTGGCTCTCCCTGCCAATAGTGCATGACCCCCGGTACCCAATGGTAATGAATCCCCACTTCCGATCCGATGGTAAGAGCGACGAGGGGGGGCATATTCTCGTGTCACTGCCTTGGGAGACCTCTTCATAGTCACTGTGGCAATAATCGTCGGGGCTTTGCTTGCTGTCGTCGGGAGTCAGCAGTTTGACCAGGTCCGGGAGCTGGAAGTACTCAGCCTCCCTCTTGAGCCTCCCCTTCTCTGGGAAGTGGTCGGGCAGAACCACTTGCTTGTCCCTGAGATAGTCCAGAATATAGCGGAAAAGAAAGCCATCTCTGTCGATGAAGAATCTTCCCTTGGAGTCCTTAGCCAGATCGTTGGCTGTGTCTCTTTTTGGGGTGAACATTTTCCACAGCAGGGAGTGAGGGGTGCCAACCAAGGTGGAGTGGCGAGTGAAGTAAACCTGGCCACCCACGTTTAGCTCCACGACCTCCGGGAAGGAGTGCAGCCCGGTGCCCTGCTCCCGAGCAGGAAGGTAAGTCCTGCAGTTGCCACTTAGAGCCATTGTATTTTAAAAAAGAAACCAGCAGCAAGGAGCAGCAGGACGGTCGATCACAGCAAAGTGTAGAATAAGGCTCCCAACATCAAGAAGAAATGGGGTGAGAGGAAAGTGAGGAAACAAAAGAAAAAAAAATAAATAAAGGTTTGTCTAAAAAAAATGGGAATCGTCCATGGGTAACTGTGTGGCAGAAGTGGCTTGTATCCTAAGCCATAAGGGCTGTAGAGCAATCACTTCACGAAATGCAATCACATCATCAGATCTTCCAACAAAGCCATCAAAATCAAGGTCAAGCCAAGCCTATGATCCTTCACGGGTCTGTTAAAAGGGAAAACAAAACCAGACACAAATTATTCTCTTAAGCATGCCAGAAATTGCAACAGAGAGAAAGAGAAGCCGATGGTTTTTGAAAGCAGTTAGCTTCCTGCTACACAGATCTATTTTTGCCAAGTTCTGCGTTCCTTTTCCCAAGTACTGACCAAGGGGAGGACTCCGTGTGACCCCACGGTTTAAAGACAACACAGGGTTCATCTTAAACAAGCATCTGCTTTAGACATGCAGCTGAGGCAAGGGGAAGGGCAGCTCTTACCTTGGTTACAAGTAACGCACAGCTCTGTGCAGCAAAGCAACATCTCAGGACACTCAGAACACACACACAGGCACACAGAGCCCGCTTAGCACCAAATCCGGTCCCGGCAAGGGGCAGCAAAGGCAAGAAAAGTGCTCTCAGCAACATCCACGGAGATCCCAAGAGTTAAACCGAGTCACAGGAAAGTTAACCGCGGCAGGTGCCGAGAGGAAGCGGTACACACAGCACGGCGGGGAGGGGAGGAAGAAGAAAGGAGAGAAAAGCGCAAAAACCCCATAAATCCCACCGGGGTCCTCGGAGCGGGGCCGGGCAGGGCGGCGGTGGGCGGATGACTTGCAGAAACCCCGCGCTACGGCCGGCCGGGCTCCGGCGGCTCCCGCGGCGGCAGCGGCCCCGGGCCGGGGGGCGGCGGGGACATGGCCGGGGCGCCGCGGGGCTGCCCGGAACGGTGCGCTCCGCTCCGCTCCGGTACGGTGCGCTCCGGTACGCTCCGCTCCGGTACGCTCCGGTCCGGTGCGCTGCGCTGCGCCGAGCTGCCCGCCTCTCCCGCTGCTTGGCTCGGCTCGGCTCAGCCCAGCTCGGTGCGGCTCAGCCCGGCTCAGCTCGGCTCGGCTCGGCTCGACCGGCACGGCTCAGATCAGCCCGGCTCAGCCCGGCTCGGCTCAGCTCGGTGCGGCTCAGTTCAGCTCAGCCCGGCTCGATGCGGCTCAGCTCGGTGCAGCTCAGCCCGGCTGGGCTCGGCTCGGTGCAGCTCAGCTCAGCCCGGCTCGGCTCGGTGCGGCTCCGCTCAGCGGCGCGGGGCCGTGCCGGCGGCGGGCGCTGCCGATTGCATCATCCCGGCGGAGCGGGGCCGGGACCGCGCCAGCACCGGGGACAGCGCCGGGGCCGCCCCGCCCCGCCCGCCCCGCCCCGCCGCCCGGTGCCGGCCGAGCTCCCCGCGGCCACCTCCCCGGTACCCCCCCGGTACCCCCCGATACCCCTCCCTCCCGGTGTCCCCCCTCCCGGTGCGCCCCCGCCCCTCGCACGTGCCTGGCCGCCGGGGGGCGGCGGGGGGGGACCGGGACCGGCGGGGCCGCGGCTGTGCCCCGCCGGTGAGCGGCACCGGGGGGCGGGGGCAGGGGCCGGGGCCGCGCTCCCCGCGGCCGTGCCCGTGCCCGTGCCCGCACCGCCACCTCGCGGCAGCCGCCCCGGGCCGAGCCCCGGGTCCGCAGGTACCGACCCGGCCCCCCCCGGTCCCCTCCGGCTCCCCCCAGCCTTGGCCCCGCGGTGCTGCAGGGGGCAGCGGTCCCGGCACGGTGAGGCTGCTCGGGGACACAGCGGGGACACAGCAAGGCTCCCGTGCAAACGGTGCCCGGACCCCAAAGGGGAGGTTTCGGGGTGGAATCGCGGTGTGCAAGTTGCCAGCCCAGCTCCTGCTCCGCCAGCTTCTGAGAGCAGGGCCAGGAGCATAAAGCAACCGACACCGCCGCATGCTCAGGGTAAGAAGTGCCACTCCAAGGGCTAAGGGAGAAAACCACAACTTGTGTACTTACACATTTTTCAAATTCACGCCTGAATCAAACCCTTGCTTTTTACCCCAATTCATTCACTAATTAAGAAGCAACAGCCAAGGTCCTGAGCCAAAGATCTGTCCCTCACCTCTGGATCTCACTCTAATTTCCAACCAGCAGCATCTGGGGCCGCGGCAGAGGCTGCACGATGTAGCTCGGGACGAGACAAAGCACTGCGCATCTTCACTCCGGCTCCTGCAGGCCAGCCCAAGAAGTGCTTGTCAGGGGCTCTCATCCTTAGAACGAAAACGTGCAGGTGTGATGTGAGGACACGTTAGCTTAGACGTACTCATCACTTCTTTAAGAGTTTGGCATCGTCAAGGCATGCAGGTTTAACATCTGCATGACCAGGCAGAAGAAATGATAAGCTTCCTTTGGGAGTTACGCTCATTAGTGCTGCCCTGGTTCAAAGCAAGGAGCATTGCATCAGCTTTTTCAAATACTTTAGTTATTAATGTTAGTTAATATGCTTTAATAATAATTAAATCAGTGTTCATAAAGCCAGTGGTGTCCTGTTGGCAGGGCTTGGAGAATCAATTCACTGTGCCCAGTAAAAACTGAACTTGTTCAGACAAGCACCAGAGACACCTGCGGTCACACAGAGGTCCAAATCACAGGCGGGTGGCAGAGGTCCCCTGGGCAGAAGTGGGAACTACACAGCAGGTCTGATGTGCAGGCACTCCGGCAAGGGAGTGAGGATAAGGTTTTGTGAAGGATTTTGACATCGATACCGTGTGATTAATGAACACAGATGTGTTTAAGCTCTAAGTCTTTTGGAAAAATTATAATCAGAATTGCCCTTTGAAAAGAACAAAAACTGTAGAATTTTAATCTCAACAGCTTTAGAAATGTATCTGCTTCTGCACCTTTCAAGCAATAAATGAAAGAAATTAAACTCCTACTTTTATTTCTTTACACAGGATGCTCCAATCATTTTCCTGCAATACAATATAATATCATTTCCTTTGATGCAGTGACTTCCATACTAGAAGCATCACATACTGCTTCCTTGCTAAATACAAGCCACTGGCCAAATCCTTCAAAATGCTGCCTGATAAGAGTGAAACTTCAAAATCTGGGCCAAATGCACTGGTGACCTAAATGTAAAATATGTGTCAGGACCACACTAAGGACCTTATCTATTCAGCCGCAAAACTAAAGCAGCTCACTTAAGTGCGGCTACAGTTCTTTGATGGAAAAGAAAAGCAGCATCTATCAAAAGGAGGAGGATGAAGCATGTCCCACTTTTAACAGATGCCTACATAACCTTCAATATAGCTAGGGAAAAATTTAGCCCAAGCTTAGAGCGTATGTTCCAGAAGTCACAGCAGAGCTATGCTTAAACCCGATACATCAACGATGTGACATCATTCACAGGTTTGAGGCCACTCCTTATGACAAAGTGCTATGTTAGCATCCAAGCTTTCACAAAGTCATGGGACAACTGACTTCATCAAGTTCTGCGGGTGCTAAAAAGGGGTAGGTGTCTGAAAAGAAGCAGCAATGGATGTTAGAAAGGGTAGTATTCAGCTAAGTGTATAGTAGCGATGGGATGTACACACATCACCTTACAGCTCGCAGTGCGAACACACAGCTATAAATACGAATCAAGCCGCCCACGTATAACGAGAAATGTAGAAGCTGTTTATCAGCATTTAAACACCACACTGAACTTCAGGCACTCACAGAAGTAGCAATGATTTCTAGTGGAAATTGAGGGAGTAATTCTGGGAAGAAAAAAAAAAAAATCTAAGTTGGATTTTGGACATAAGATTTCAGCTAAAAAGCCACATGGGAGCTTTCATCACTCTGGGTGATTTTTAAACGCAATAGTTAAAATTAAAAAAAAAAAAAAAAAAAAGTAAAGTTTTCAGTTCTCGACTTACACTCTGATTCAGAAGTGACTTCGTGGTGCACCAAAGGAGCCTCCAGCCACGTGTTCTGTAACTCCCATTGCAGCAGGCCAGGACTCTCCCGAGCCCCAGAGAACAGCACAGTTGCTGAGGAGGGTGGTGTGGCGAAGAGGAAAAGGAAGGTCTGGCCCCAGGAGGTGCTTTGGGCCCAGCTGTGTCCTATTGTCAGAGCAGTGTGAAGGGACACTGGTTGCAGGGAGAACCAGCCACCACATCCTGCAGGCAGATGCCAGCACTTCCAGACAGACTTCCAGTCCAAACTCAATCCATAGCAAAGGACAGTAACAGTCCTGGCAGGAAGAAACCCCAGCCTGTTGCAGAGTAACAGACCTTCAACCCAGGCAATTTAGAAAAGATGTATAGCATTCCTAGAGCAGAGTGGTCTTCCCATCCCTCTGGTAGCTCTGGAAACCTGAGTTCCCAAGAACAGAGCCAGGCAAGAAAAAGTATGGCACTGAGATAAATTAACACATTGTCCACTGATCCTGCAGTGTGAATTACATACAGTGAAAATCTCATCCACTGAAATTTCACAGTAGGTGTGAATAAGACAACCTAACAAATATTTCACTTTGGAGAAAAAGCATAAAGGAACTCTAAATGGCAGGATCTCCCCAAGAAAAGGATCTGCTAGCAGAAGTGCAAGTGCCATAAAGCAGGGTTTATTACGAAGTACATAGTAGAGCATTATACAGTTTTGCCCTTGATCTTTTATTCATAACTCAAGTGCATAATGTATTTTCATCAAAAAAAGGCAAAGAGGAAGAATAGCTTTCACAGCCACTCAGCATGTAAGCACAGGCGTTGTGTAAGGCCGATAATTCAAGCAGGAAACATGAGACATTATTTTTTCCCCATCAAGTAACATACAGAATGTGGGCACAGCTCCTGCAAAGAAAACTGTGTGCTCTTCTCATCACACACCAAATCCAAAGCAAATTCATTGCACAAGGTGCTAGATTTCCAAAAACTGACAGCGAGGAAGAATCACATTCTACTGGTTTGTGTAGCAGCCATTGTACATCAGGTAACATTTTGACCAGGAATTGATATATCAAATGCTAAAAAATCCTGTAGAATTTCATGGATGGTGTTCAGCAAAGCAATCTGCTACACAAACAGTCCCGTGTGTGTTGGACACTTCAGTACACCCAGCACATACAAACAGACAGAGACCTCATATGCACTCGCATCAGCAACCTTGTTAAACTCAAAGGGAAATTGTTGTTTTCAGTCACCTTTTGCTATGGGACTTTCTCTCTTACATGTTTCGCCACAGCAAAGCTTTCTTCAGCAGACTTCTTCCTTTTTCCTTTCCTCCCACATTACCAAAGTACTTTGATAAGAGTTTTATCTTCAGTCTGGTTCAGATTATCCTGTTATTTACACTACTATGAATATAGTGTGGTTTTTAATGTTGCAGCCAATACAAACTTTGGTCCTCGCTGGGTAGCATTATTTTGATATGGCCACCGTGTAACCCATGCACTAATTTCATGAGTATTTTTATACTTCCCATCTTCCCGTTTCAACATGTCTCACAAAACCAGGCATCTGCTCCCTGTCCACGGCGCAGGCGGAACTGCCCCTCAGGAAAGGGGCTGTGTTTGGTGCCTTACCAGGCAACAAGGCTGTGCCAGCGGGCAGGGTGAGAGCTGCTGCTCGCAGGCAACCTGCAGAGATGTTTTGTGGGTTCTTGCTCTAATAAGAATTGTCGGGCATATACTGGCAGAAACTGATGCATTTCCACATCTGTTTAGAGTCTTCATTTTCATACAAGCCATAATAAAATCATCTCTATTTTGCTTCACCAGAGAAGGAAGGGGTTTCTGATACGTCTCCAGAAAGAACATACTGGGGGAGAAGGTATAAAAAGGATAAACTTCCCCCTGTTCCCATTAGTGCTGGCTACCACAGTGCACTTTCCAAGTCATGCAAGAAGACAATAGCTGTGCAGCTGCAAGATACTGCTTTCCTTGGACCCATAGGCCTGTACCAGACAACTCACTGCTACAGGCAAGTGTGAATTTGTCCCGCAAAGCTGAAGCAGACAACTGATACCCTAAAGTCATGTTAAGAAGCCCAGTGCAAACAGAGAGCTAATTAATGAAAGCTCGAGCCTAAGCTGTGAGCAAATTCTAATAATCTAAGCAAATCCAAACAGATTTCTAGCCAAAGAGCATTTCACCAGCAAATCACAATTAAACAGCCCACTGCCTGGAATTTGGGTCTAATTTCACTGTCTAGTGAACTGCAACCAAGTCACACAGTTCATCAAAGCGGCACTAAGCCATCAACATCAGATGTATCCTGCACACTCTACAGGTCTTCCATGAAAGCCTGGGCCTTCTCAGCCTTCAAACGCTCATTTACCTAAACTATAAATGTGCAGGAAGCAGCTTATACCGTAGTGACTGATCTCTGTGTTATCTGTGACTATAATTCCTACATTGTTATTTCATCCAGTTCTACAAACACGCGTATTTTCTGGAAGGCTGTTCCCAGGAGATACTGGATATCCTGCACCACAAGGTGCGTTCTGCAGGAGAGGCTTATAACAGGACTGTTATTCAAATACAGTAATCTCAGCAGAAGAAGATTATATCCGTGAGAGCTTGTAACAAAATAACTGTAATTGTGTCCTAAGCCACAGTGAATTTAAAAAAAAAAAAATAAAATAAAAACCTACTTCGGAAAAGGGTCTTGCATTTGCAGAAGCTTGTGTGCCCGAGTGGCAAGCAATCTGTTCTAGCGTGCCCGTAAGTTCAGCTACATCACGCACGGGATTGCAACTGTTTATGCATGCACAAGTAAACATTTCTGAATCTCATTACTGTGCACCTATTTGGCAACAACAATAACGTGGCAATTATGATTCAGCTCATTCTGAAGTTTCAGCTAAACTGCCTCAGCTGGGTTTTCCCCAGCTCTGTCCACACCAAGCCCGTCTGAGTCAGCAGCACACTCGCTTCTTCCTGCGCTCTGCACGAGTACCTGAGGTAGTTAATGAAAACAAATTCTAATTAGCAGTCAGAGGGCAGCTTTTCCCCTGGCCCTGAGTGGAAAAAAAGGAGGTGCAAAACGATGGAACTAGAAGGAAAAACAGAGTGAGCAGCTTCTGCCAGCCCCTCGTGTCCCCACAGGGATGGATCCACCCCACTGCTGTTTGTCACATAACACCGGGGGATCTTCTCCTCAGGCCTCCCCTAGGCCAGGCTGTTTCACAGGCATTGCGGGTTGTTTCAGTTTTGTGTTTTTGTTTTGGTTTGGTTTGGTTTGTTTGTTTTGGTTTGGTTTGTTTTGTTTGTTTTGGTTTGGTTTGTTTGTTTGCCTCAGTTCCATGGAATTCCCGCTCCTGCAGCCACCTGCAAGGCACAGGCTGACAGCTGCCTCTGATGAGGACCTGCAGACCCACAGCTCCTGCACACATTTTATGGGGCCTCAGGAGAGCGCTCTTTTTATTTAACATGTTGGTGTGAGGGGTACGAAGCCCTGCCACCACCCGCAGCTCCCCGCCCCAGTACCGCCAGCCCGCGGGGAGCCTGAGCCCGCGGGCAACGCCATTCGCAGCCTTAACCAAGAAAAGAAACCATACAGGAGCTCAAAACATCATTTATTTGGGTGATTAACAGGTAAAAAACCCGCAAAGTACGAGAACCGCGACGCCGCCCGGCGACAAGCCCCGCGTGAGGCCGCCCCTCACGCCCGGCCCCCGCCCCCCGCCCCACGTGACCCCGCCGGGCCTCGCCCCCTCGGCGTTGCCACGCAGGCAGCGCGCGGGGCGGGCGGCGCATGCGCGCTGGGGGCGCGTCGCACGCATGCGCGGCGGCCCCGGAAGCGGCGGGCGGCAGGGTGACACGTCGCAGCGCCGCGCCGGGGGGGCCGCGCCTGGGCCGGGCCGCGGTGGGTGCGGGGGGCACCGGGAGGGGGCCGGGGGGGGCCGAAAGGGGCTGAAGGGGTCCCGGGGCCGCGGGCTCACTCTCCCGGTGCTCCCCGCAGGCAGGGTGCGGGAGATGTCCGGCTTTGACAGCTTCACCACGGACTTCTTCCAGACCGGCTACAGCATCGACGAGCAGGCCCAGCACTACGACTACGGCGGCGGCGGCGGCCGGGCCTACGGCAGGTAACGGCCCCACGGCAGGTAACGGCCTCTGGGGCCGCCCCGCTGCCCATGGGGAGCGCGGCGCCTTCAGGGCCGGCACCGAGCCCTGCTGCGGTGCCGCTGTGTGGGTTAAATCCTGTAAATGAGGTGTATGGCGGTTACATGCTGTGTATCCCATGGTCTGTGCTGTAGTTAAAGGCAGGGCTCTCAGGATGCTACGTGGGAAATCGTAATAATATAAATAATCCTTTGGAACGCCACTATCAGTGTTCCCTAAGGGTGTACGCGGTTACTCAGGGAATGGAAATTAGTCGCAGTGTCAGATAAATGAGCCCGTAACGTCCGTGGTGTTTTCTAGGCTTTAGCAGAAAACTGTGGCAGACTTTTCTAGGTCACAGGGAGTGCTTGGTACATCCGTAGTCCCAGGCTGAGGATTTCTGTCAGGTACGTGGCCTGAGTTTGTTGGCTGTCATAGATGGAGCAGGTTGATGCGTGTTTGCATCCCGACAAGGACTGCTGGGCTGTGGTGAGGCTGGGCTGTACTGGCACAAGAAAAGGAGAGTGAGTTCTGGGTTTTCCTTTATGTTCATGTTTCCATAGATTCTAAATTTGTTGGAGACATTTACTAAAGTCTTTGTAGTCAAACTCAGAGACTGTTAGCAGCAAGATTAACTTAGGAGTTTGTTTAGGAAGAGAAGATAGCTCTGATGAGGCTTATTTTCTTTTAAGATGTCTATAACCACATATGTTTTTATACATGTGAAATCTATAATGGTATTGCAAAGACAGTATAAACGTGTTAGCAAATATTTGAGAAAGTGCCAAATAGAAACTGAAAAATTGCACCCCCCGTTGGTCCCAGCATCATGTCCTCTAGGTAGATGTCACCGTGTTTAGAATCCACACCACAATTCCTTTTTATGTGTCATAACACTAACTGTTGCTCGTGGTGTGTAAGTAAAGAGGAAAATATGGTTTTATTTTTTTTCCTTAGGCTGATTTTTTCTTAAATATGGAGGGCAATGAAGGTGATAGTACGAGCTACTTTGTTCTGTAACAGTGAGTTTGCAAGTGAACGTTCTCAATTGTAAATTAATGCTGGCATCAAGTGAGTTGTCAGTAGTAATTAAGGGACAATTGGATTAGTTTGTGACTTACATTTTTTCCTACTCTTTTATATGTCCACAAGCTGTGGTAGTAATTCAGTCAATGGATAACGCTCATTTTTGCAGGCTTCTGACTTAAAAGCAATACAAAAGCACACGTAACGATAATTACTGTGTTCAGCTTATGGTAGTACGTCGTCTTTAGCTCATCAGCATTGTTATTAATGGTTTGAAAAAATGAATGTGGTTAAGTGCCTAAAACACTTGCATTTGAGTAGGGGAGCATTGAATGAGGAGGAAAGACAGATCTGTTTGCTGTGGTTTATTTGCTGAGAAGAAGCTTTGATTTGTGCAGGGAGGTGTTTAAAATGAAGTTCTGTATCCGTCCGTAACGTGTTGTCGTTCCCTGTAGGCAGTATGGAGGCTACGACTACTCCCAGCAAAGCGGATTCGTCCCTCCGGAGATGATGCAGCAGCAGCCGTACACGGGGCAGATTTACCAGCCAACACAGACGTATACTCCAACCTCTGCACAGTCTTTTTATGGAAGTAACTTTGAGGATGAGCCTCCTCTATTAGAAGGTATAATTTGAGCTTTGTGGCTGAAATCCAAAACTCCTCCCAGCTTGGGGATGAGTTGAGTAGTAGGGTGTGTATTCTTGTTTCTGGAAGTACACAATTGACTTGAAATTCTCATTAGTTTTTTGTTATTTACCTGTATTTCAGTATATAATTTGCATGTTCTTGTGTGAACTTTTGGACACAGTTTTAGCATTATGCTTTATTGCTTCATGCTATCTGTTCCGTGGAAGGCATAATAATTAAATGAATAGCCCAACTTCATACAGCACTTAAAACACTTAATAATTTTGTTGTTGCAAATCATACTTGTAGCAAATTGTATATTTTTTTTTGGTGAAAATAAGTTGATGCTATTAGCTGCAGTCGATTCTGTGATTTGAACTGAAGTCTTGCATTACTAAAGAGGAGTGCTGTACGCTGCAGAAATTCCTGTGCAGAATAAAGAGTGTGCCAAATGCCAGAATGGTTAGGTAGTCGGTGTCTGTAGCTGAGTTGCCAGCTCATATACATCATTGTTCAGTACCAAACAACTGAAGAAGCCCTTAGTGTTGCTGGTCAGAGAGGCAGGTGTTTGTATTTTCTTTCCACCCAGCTGTGCTTGTTTATATTATTCACAAAATTATTTTGTTTGTGTAAATACTTCCCAGGGCCTGGGGTGGGCAAATAGGTGTTTGCACAGCTGTGGTCAAATTGTATGGATGGAGCCTTGAAATCCTATCCAGGTGCAAGAAGCTGTAAAATGAGTCAAATGTTAAAAGGAATGGTTGTGTTTTTCTCAGTGGATTCAATAAGAGGATAGGAGGTTTGTGAAGGAGAAATCCACTGAGGATAACTAAGTACGGAGAAACTACTTTGAATTTGAAATCCTTGAGCCACCAGTTGCCAGAGACTTGGGAAATGTTTGGGGAATCTGTGTGTTTTCTGCTGATACTCCTCCATGCATATCTTTGGCCACTTACAGAGACAATGTGCTGGGCTAAATGAACTTTGGTCTGGCGCAGAACACTGTTCTTAGGCCTTATCTGGCTCTTTAGAAACCAGCCTGTCACTGCAGAACATTTGAGACGTGGAATCTGTGGAAGCAGCACACTCAGCAGCCCAAGGACAGAGGGAATGACTCAGTTCTGTGGTCCTTGTAGGATAGTTCCTGGAGGAGATTTAAGAGTGCAGGGGCAGGGAAAACTTGTCAGTGAAACAAAGAAGTAAAAATACATAAATATGCATAGTTTGTTTCATGTAACTTGCAGAATTGGGGATCAATTTCGACCATATCTGGCAGAAGACACTAACAGTGCTGCACCCACTAAAAGTAGCAGATGGCAGCATCATGAACGAGACTGATTTGGCCGGACCAATGGTCTTCTGCTTAGCTTTTGGAGCCACGTTATTACTGGTAAGACATTGATTGCCAAATACAATTATTTGTGCTTTGATATGCCTCGAGACACTGGAGGAAAAAGACAAGTTACCTGTAGGTCAATGGAACTGACTCCTTAGCATAGAGGCCACAAAAATCACATCGTGACCAGGAGTTTGTAGCTTGGTGGGAGAGGAGCTGGGGCTTCATGCAGCACTCCCTGAGGTTGGCGAGTTTGCTACCCTTTTTTCTGTGGATTTTAAGTTTAAGCTTTGGAGTTTGTTTTTTGTTTTGTTTTTTTTTTTGCATGCCATTTATTTCACTGGAATGCCTATTTCTTTTCATAGTCTACTTTTGAGGAATACCATTCCCTATTTCACAGAAATGGGTGTGTGACTCGTTCTCAGATTTTTAACTGCTTTTTTAAAGAGATTGAGGTGTGTTACTTTCAGAATTATGCATTGTATTTTTGAGTTGTCACCTTCTGCTTTAATATTTGCTTCTTATTTATAATTCACATTGTTCTGTAACACTGTAGAGTCTGTCACAAGGCATTTTAGCTCTAGATTTGTAGAGAAGTTCCAAACGTTTCTAGTCTTAAACATTACTCCTGTAAAGATTATTGCAAGACATCTTCAAAGAGATCACCATGAGAAGGTTAGTTGCCTAAGCCAGGAGGTGGACTTGGTGATCCTTGTGGGTCCCTTCCAACTTGGGATATTGTGTGGTTCTGTGATATCCTATGATTCTGTAACTCCTGCGGAATTCATAGACTTTTGCAGATCAAAAATAACAATTTGATTAAAATCTATTTATTGAAATAGGTAAACTTTGGATAAATGTGCCTCTTGGGTGTCCAAAATGTACAGGTGTCCTGGAATTCAGGTTGTGGGAAAATACGGCATGTTGAATTTAAATCTAGGAATTGGTGGTTGGAGGGATGATGGAGAAAATGAACATATGCTGTAAATATTAATTCTTCTTGTCTTTGTTTGTGGCAGGTGTTACTTGTTCTATTAATTAATGTGTACTCTGGTTAACTTTCAGGCTGGTAAAATCCAGTTTGGTTATGTGTATGGGATAAGTGCAATCGGATGCTTAGGGATGTTTTGTCTCCTGAACTTAATGAGCATGACAGGCGTCTCATTTGGCTGCGTTGCCAGTGTCCTTGGATACTGTCTTCTTCCTATGATCCTACTTTCCACTTTCGCAATTGTGTTTTCATTGCAGTAAGTACATAAACTATAACTTGATTAAATAGATTCCTCTCCTGTGAGAGAAAGTTATTGCAAGAAAATTTCATAGTGATGAACGTGCCTGTAATTTCAATATGACAGGAATTTGTAAGTGTAAAAATACAAGTCTCAACTTTCTCACTGGAAAAAAAGGTGTGAATACTGCTTTTCTTTAAGTCAATCAGCAGCTTTTAAATACGTGGACTCTTTCAATATTGAGTTTATTTTCAGTTAGCTTTGAATCTGATAAATACTATTACCTGCAAAGTTGAAAAGATGGCTTATAAGTTAAGATACAGAACTGAATGTCAGACAAAGAAAATCCACGTGATTCTTCATAACTGTGTGAAATTAGAACTGAAAAGCAGCAAGAAACAGTGCAATATAGTTTCTTTATTTAATACCTAAATTTCATAAGTACAAAGGTGCTTTTTAATGTTGTGATAATTGAATAATATGGCTCTGAAATCTTTACTGGAACTCTATCATTTAAAAATGCGGAAGATAAAAGATAAAGTTGTTAGAACTTGTAGAACATATTAGGAGTCTAGTTACGACTTCTAAACACACGAGTCTTAAATGAGTTCTGTTTTTATCTTCACAGGGGAGTGATGGGAATTATTCTCACAGCTGCAATCATCGGCTGGTGCAGCTTTTCTGCTTCCAAAATCTTCATTTCTGCCTTAGCAATGGAAGGACAGCAACTTCTAGTAGCATACCCCTGTGCTTTATTGTATGGAGTCTTTGCTCTCATTTCTGTGTTTTGAAGAGACTGTCCAAATTGTTGGACTCCAGTGGGCCAAAATGAAGACATCAACTTGGAGTACTTAGTTGGACCAGACACGGCTGCAAACACCTGTATAGTGTTGCTATCACAAAACTTAGACCAGGTTTAAATCATCTGGAACAAATGTCTTGTGTTCACTTTTTTAGGACTTTGAATACTGTTCTCAATTGACCTGAGGTGTCTATAGCTTTAATAAGTGTTCATGCTTATCAAGTTAATGTAATTTCTTTCCCATTCCTATATCTTTAGAAAAGTAACTTTTAGTTGTTTATTTGAGCTGGTGGGGGAGTAGGGGGGAGGGTTTGTTTTTTTTGTTTTTTTTTCAGGGGAGGGAGGGAGGAGGGATGCAGTTACAGATTGAAAGATTGTTATCAGTAGAAGTTAACAAAACCACAGATGATGTGGATTTGGAAGTTCTCTTTGAATAAATCTGCAGTAATAACCCATTTCCTCTCCCCTCTTGCCAAAAGGAAAATGCACAGAAGAACACAAACAATTATTTCTATATTTTAACAGACACACACTTACGCTGTTTGGTTTCATTTACTTGTTCATTTGATGTGATAGTAATTCAAGACGTAAGATACTGAAATTATGAATTAGGAAACAGATGCTCTAAAAACTAAAAGGATCTGCAATTCTGTCACATTTGAAATATGAATACATTTGGATGTCTAAGTAGCTATATGTTAACTTGAACTTCTGAAGATGACTTCAACTAGAGGATTTTCCCCTAATGGTGCACATAGTAGACAAAGAGTAATCTCTTTTGCAGTACTTCCAAGAAAAACACCATTTTGAAAATGTTATGCTTGCCAGTATTGTAGTTACTGTAAAAGTAAGGTATATTGATTAAATTTTCCTTAAATTTTGAGAATGTTGTTTGAGTTTTCCAATCTTTACTTTTGAACGGACATCGGTTATTAAAATAGGAACTTTCATATGGAAGCAAAATCATATTTAAAAATGTATTCAGTTAGTGGATTTGATATTTGCTTCAGCCATACATACTTAATTTTACATTACAAATATAATCTAGTTTGTGATACCAGATGCTTACAAGAAGTCTTATAAGTGTAGGATGTAGGAAAGCAAAAATGCTTGGTCTTCACAGAAGCACTTGCTAATTCTCAAAAGCAAGAAAACAACTTAACTCAATGGAAAGGGAAGATAGTCTTTTTTTCTTTCCCTTGGAAATGAAGAAGCTCTATCAAAATGCTAGATTATAACTACCATTTTTCAGCAATTTAATCTAAGGGACAATTTAATCCAGGGGATTAAATTCAGTAAATTCATTTCACTGAATTTACTGAAGGTGTTAGTCCGATGCTCATCTGTCAGGTTTGTGGAATAATATATTCATAGATTTTATGTGTTATGTTAACACCTTGTAAGACTCAGTCCGTGAATGGGTCTTACATCAAAGGAAAGCTACCATGAGTGAATAATTTCACAGACCAGTGCATGTTATTGTTCACTCTTCCTTTAGTTCTTCTCGTTCTCCTAAAAAATATAAAAATAAAAAAAAAATTCTTCCTAGTCCCACTAGAAGTTACTGAAGAGGTCCCCTTCTTTGGTTGGAGCTAACTTTGTTGTGTTCCTGGGAGCTGTGGGAAGTGCTGAATGAGTGTGAAAGCATCAAGAACTAAACACTGATGCAGAAAACTGTTTTGACTTACGTACTGTGTCTGGCTGTTGTAATGAATTTTAAAACTCATAAAAAAAAATTCAATTTCCTTCAAGAATTTGATTCAAGAGCCCAGATAATTTTATACTTTGATACTTTATTATGAGTTATCATCCTAAATAAAACAGTTGAGTTTATTTTATTTACTGGAATGTTTTACTCTGCATGTTTTAGTTCTGATTTTCTTTGGATTAGCAGGCCTGATGCTCAAAGTCCTCTTTTTATTGAACAACATTATCTGCTGATGGAGCATGATGTCCTGTGTTTCTGCAAATAAGTTACAGTGATTGCCTTTACTAATGAGACCTAATTAAATACAGAATGCTTCTAAGAAGTATAAAAACTGGCATACTTCCTTGAGCATGTCAGGTTCTAAATACTCAAATATTGTTTTGTTGTTGACTAATTGAGCTTACCTTGCATGTATGGTTCATTTCTTAAAGCTTGCACTGATTTTTGTAGATTTCTCTTGCTGTGGTGACCGAAGTTATTTATAACAACTTAACATGTAAGTAATCATCCTAGAAGTTAAGTGCAAAGGAGAAATGTTAAAATCCACCCATCTCCGTGTAGCACTAATTGCACAACTACTGAGTTGGAAAGACCATATCAAAACGTATTTCTGTATATACATTGTCACAAAGTCCCTATTCTGACAGTGGAGGATGCTACATGCTCTACTTAAGCAGTGAGGTTTGACCTGATAGTTTCAGGAGCATTCTGTGTTCTTCAGACCACATTGTGGTGAATTCAGTGATGAATTTCCACCTAGGCTCCTGGGAGCAGGAATGGAAGTAGGAAGAGGGAGTAGAAGTGGGTCGAAGACTAATTCACAGGGGGCTTCACAAAAACATAATGTATCTAAACTGGTAGTCTTAAATGTCCCCAGGTTCTGGTAGGTTAGTTAATGTGATTCCATTGACCCTGTTTATTGCCTTTCCAGAATCAATTCTATTGATTTCCTACTTTAACCTACTATAATACTGTTTTGTCCTAGAACCTGCTTCAATTTTAGTTACGTTTCAGACTATTTAATCTTACTGTCACATGGAATGAGAAGATTATGTGCTGTAATTCTTCACTCCCACATTTGCCTTTAGTTATACTTAGGCTTTTTTTTTTTTCCCTACTTTCCTAAATCTGAATTCTCCCCCACTGTCTGTTAACAGCAGTATTCTCATCTAGTTTTCTGATGAAGTGTTAATGCTACCTGCTTCACACTGCATTGTCTCTTGACATTTTCATGTTGCTCAGCTTAAAGTGTTCATGTATGAATGCTGGTGTTGCTTTTTTAAAGCTAATTGCTTTATCACGCCCACTCTTTAAATTACTTCCTATTGTACAAAGTTAGATTAAAAGTTGCTTTTCCCAGTTTGTCCATTCAAAAGCAAAGTTTTGACAGCACCTGTGTGTTTCAGGTCATTTGTTTTGCTATGAGGCAACTGCTGACTCCCATTCAGTTTCAATAAGCAAAATTTCTGTAAGCATCAACAAATCATATGTCATTAAAGCTCGTTGTTGAGCTGTCAAACCTCTGTCAAACACTGACAGGTGTGGGCATCAGGCACCTCTCTAGGAGGCCAGTTCCAGCGTTTGACCACTCTTAAGGTATAGAAATCTTTCCTCGTGTAGTCAGAACTTTCCCTGGCGCAGCTTTGGGCCGCTCCCACGCTGGCTTCTCTCTCAAACAGGTCACCTTATTTCCATGAACTTGAATGGTTCAGACTTGGTTACTGCAAAGAACATCTCTTTGGGTTTGTAGTGAGAAGCTGGAGTGCTCTTAGGCTTGTCTCCAAGCATCGGCACAGGGACGTCTTCACTGCATGACCTGTGTGCAAGGGACCCAGGACCCCCAGGGAGCGGCGGGCGCAGCAGGGCGCAGTGCTTTGGGGGGCGAGGGTCGGGCTGGGGCACGGCCTGGCAGCAGCCACAGGTGGTCACCCACTGACGGTGTGCTGGTTCCTCCCAAAGCTGCTGCGGAGTCTGCTATGTGCTTTAGGAACCACACGAGCTAAAAGAGCAGCCAGCAGTTTGTGGTACTGCCACGGGTTGTGCCGCAGGAGCAGGTTTGCAGAAGAGGGAACATCTTTCTGTGGACAAGCATTCACATGCTGCAACTTTAACAAAAATGATTTAAACAAAAAGGAGCGGAATAACTGGGGCTTGCTGTTTCCCACATCTCCACTGGGTGGGCCTGCAGCATATCTGATGTGCGACCGCAGGCAGCATCGCTGTGAGGGAGGGCTTGGGGCCGGCACAGCTCAGCATCAGGAAGGTTTCCTCCTCCGCTTGCCCTCTTTGCCTCCCGTGACATCAGCAGCAGTTACACCCCCAGGTAGCCAAACCGCTGATGTCTGGCTGGATTTCTGCTCCATGTAATGGGCAAGGCCCTCGTGTCAGTCACAGCCTGTCAATTCAGCGGAGATGCTGTGTGTGCCAGGAAGCCCTCCTGGCAGTGGGAAAGCTCTGCTGCATCCCTTCCTTTCTATACAGCTCGAATTTTTCTGACCAGGTTTTCTCTTCACACTACCAAGACGTCTCTTCATTTTCTTTATGCAGTCCAAAAGCATGAGAAATTATTTTTCACCAGATAATCCGCTGCCCTCCCAGCTGCTGGGAGATGCAGGCAGGCTCCTCCCTGCGTGGCCCACCCTGTGCTGTAGCACTCATGGGCACCTCTTTCCCATGTGAGGTGCTGCATCCTCCCAGAGATACATTTTTTAATTCAGGTAACTAGCACGTCCTCCAGAACTGAAACAATTAATTTACACAACCCATGGGGAAAAAAAACTAAAAGTGTTTAAAAATATTTTGTTTTATTGTTACTTTAGAAGTTACAAGCACTACCATCTCAAGATGTGGGGACCTCAGTTACTTACTGTGATTATCCTTGAGCATCCTGCAAGACAGGGAAGCTCCTCATCCTGTCCTGTAGATGAGGACTGACCTAAGGAGCTGTATGCAGCTTTTCCAGGGCCTGCTGCATTTGGTCATCTTTATCCCAGCAGAACATAATGAGGTTGCTCTCCAGGGGTGGATTCCCAGGCCAGTTCTCTGGGACACAGCTTGAAAGTGGGAGGAGATTTTATAATTGGAAAGTCTGTCAGCCGCATTTGCCAGCTTTGTGCTTTCCCAACCAAAGCCAGCAGGCCATTAGCCAAACAGCAGTCCCTGCTTTGAGAACTGCAGGCATTGTGCTCATAAGGGTTGTTTTTTTTCCCTCCTATTATTTTTGCTTTATTGAAGGAAGCACTGACATTAAAAAGCAGGGATTCTCTGCTCCTCATCAGGAATGGTAAAGTGGAATATTGTCTAAAATTAGACACTAGTCCTGGAATAGGCCTCTTTCAAAAATCGTACTGCAATTACACGTCTCTAGGAAGAAGGGCGTTGCTCTATTTCTTTACACACTAAGCTCCACCACATCATTCTTGGGATTACAATGCTCTTACAATATACGTTTCTATTATGTTTTTCCCAATATTCTTGCTTTTCTGTTGCTGGCAGAGAAATACCAACATTACCAACTGACCCACCAGGCCCATTTGCTGTTCAGTCGTGGAATTTGCGCCCGCTTTCATGCAGCAGCTGTGGCCAAAGGCAAGCAGCACTGTGTGCTCCCATCGGAAAGGTGCCCCTGCCTGCGCTGAGCCTGTCCCTCTGTCCCTCTGAGTGCCCAGCACCGCTGCAGCGACGTGAAACTGCCCTCAGGCTCTGAACCAGGCTCTGCCAAAGCCCTCCTTACCTGGCCGTGTTTGCTCCAGTCTGGAGATCAATGCTAAGGGAAGTCAGGCAAGTGACTGAGCTGTTTCAGGCCTTTTGGCAGCAAGCACCAGCAAAGGCTTATCTTCAGCAGTTATTATGAATTCAAAGTCAAGGCCATTTGGGCCTCGGGGTAAAATCCAGAGGTTCTTACTGAGGGTGTGATTTATCCCTCTCACCCTGCTAGGTAACAGTTTCTCAGTTCTTTTTCAGGCAAAATTCCCACTTAGCTCAACAGGAGACTGAGCTGACTCAACAACATGAATATTTGGCCCATAATTGTCAGGCAAATCAGGACAAATAGCCTCATTTACAAGCAAACCCGCCAGGCTAGGACATTTGGCTAGTGCCTATACAGCAGCCAGTGTCAGAGCCGAGCAATGGCAGCTCCTGAGTCTGCCCTCGGACTGCCTGCATCTACAGGCACAATTTCGGTATTGGTAGGTCGATGCCAGCTCCCTGATCCTCAGAAATGTACAGAGTCCAAAACGCGTGTTCAGAGAGGACTTTTATTTTAGTAAGTGACATAATCTGCAGAAATGAATGTCCCACTTAAAAACTTCTTGTATTAACCTGTTCGTGTTCAATTGCCCCAAAGTGTGGAAGCTAGTATTGTCCTAATGACATCAAGACACAAGCTAAAGACCCATGACAGGCTATAGAGAATTTTAATGTTTAGTGCCTTTTCCTTTATTTATTTAATCTTTATTAATATGAGTCATTCTGATTGTTTTAGTGGCTGGTTCAAATGTTAATTGTCAGTAGGAAAAGATAATCTAGCATCTTGGCAAGGCTCTGCTGGTAGTGTGGCTGCTTTATTGAATCACAGATGGAAACATTTAAATTCAGGATGATTTTCTCATTCCAGTGTTTTGTCCGAATTAAAAATTATTGCTTCAGACAAGGTTAGGAGATCTAAAAAAGGCAGTGTCTGCACTTAACTAATGCCAACAGCAGATGTCACATTACTTGCCACTCTGCCTCCTCACAGATTCATTGGACCACATTCTGCCAAATACCCATTTGGTTTATTTTAAAGGCCTTGAACCTGCAAGGTACAGAATTAACTTTAATCATTTTATATGAGATTTGAGAAATTTTAACATTCCCCTTGAGGAAACAGAGCATGTTTTCTATCTTTTGGAATAGACTGTTCCAGGAAAGTCAAACGGGGCTCTCTGCGGAGCGGATACACCGTGGAAACCACAAACTTCTGGCCAGCTCATCACCATCCCATCACACTCAGCAAAGATCAGCCTGGTGGCTGCGCTCAGTGGAACTGGATTTAATTTTTCTGAAGCAAGGCCTCAGGTGGCTCTCTGGCAGCCGTGTGTTTGCCAGCCTCACCGCCCTCCTCCAGCACCCCGCTTGGTTCCCGGT